TTTACCACAGAAGCTTTTAGCCAAGGATACAAGGTATATCCCTATGAAAAAAAAAATTACCCAACAAGTAAACAATACTACTGTTTTTAAAATTTTTACTAAAAATAAATTCGCCAAAGAGCCCCATTTGAAATTATTCAAACGAATATATGTAATAGGTATCATACACGGTACGTCTGACTCGCGACTCATTTGTGTACGTGTTGACTCGCCTTCGACTACACACACAGTTGAATCATTCAGAGTCATGCCGGGAGTCATGTTGGTGCAACTAGCACATATTTATTTTCACAAACACATCCAAACCGATTCACGAGTCAGACGCAGCGTGTATGCCACCTATAACATCAAAAGCAAATCACGAAAATTTTGTTAAGAATTACAGTGCACTCTTTCTGTTTTTGTGCCTAGTAGTTTTTTTTTAAGATTGGTCCAAAAAAATCATAACAAAGAAAAAAACCAAAGCAGGTATTTAAAACACAGAAAAAAAATATTATTAAAAGGACTATGTTCTCTTTGACGTACGTCAAAGGTCAAGTAGAAGTGAGAACTTTTATGGCTGCCCATTGATAGCTCGGTTATATAGCTTAAGGAATAATATTTTAAAGACATTTTTATCAAAGTTGAGAAATATGACATTTGACCAGTTTTGTTACACAAATACTCCTACGACCATAGGCAAAAATATTGGCTACAATTTGTCATTTTTTTGCCATATTTGTATACGTTTTATCGGTCCACTTGCAAAATATTCGCTTTCGCAAAAGCTCCACATTGATTATTGCGAATGCGAATGTTAAAATTAATGCGGAAGCTCCGCAGTTGCGAATGCGAATGCGAATATTCGCAACAACCATGCTTTGAACATAATAACCAAAATGTTGTAACACCATACAAGTTCCCCAAAGAGTATTTGGTGAGTGTTGCTGGAGTTCCAGTACTTGGCTATATATAAATCTGGGTCTATCGAAAGTGTTGCTTAGCACGGGTCAATCCCAAAAATAAAAGATAAGAAATAAAAAAAAATTTTATTTGCCAATCTTATTGTGGCTTATTAAAATTTAATTTTTATATTGCTATTAAACTTTGTACCACGATGATTTTATTAGGAAAAATGGAAGTGGAAAAATTGTGATTATCAGCCACCAATACAAATGTAACCACATGGATAAAATTCTGCCTTCAATTTTCGGTGATATTTTTTTCTTTGTTTCTTCAGTGTAAATTTGAATACATTTTCAGATAAGTTTTTCGGTATAAATAATTTCGCAATACTATGGATAGGTATACTTAGAATAAACGGGATTTTCTTCCTTGCTTTATTAAAACTTATTTTTTGTTACTGTAAATTCTACATTCTAAATCTCCATACGCGAGCAAGATTTGTATGGTTTTTCAAGCTTATATTATTTTACCGAAAGTTTCTCCTTCGCTCGGCACCGCAGCCTTTTTAAAAATCACAAATTCTCTAATGCGTAATTCAAATTACAACTGAGGTATTTTTTCGAACGATTTTGCATCATCCCTGGTCAAATTTGGTGTGGTGTCCAGTGTAATTTTTCGTTCGGAACCGGTTTATCTTCAAAATAAATTTGACAATACCTCATACTCCTACCCTGTTGGAAAAGACCAACAACAGAAATGAGAAACCCAGTAGGCAATATTTTCGTAAATTTTATCTTAAACTAAATTTTTACAAAAATTATACATATCAAAATTATACATGTCTTTTGCCCTCTGACAACAAATAATATTTTTCTTTTCTTTGTCCACTTATTCTTTTGCATTATCCGCCTCCACTTTTCTCTTTAATTATTTACATACTACTTTATTAGTATTAGTGTTCTTATATATTAATGTTTGTGTCTTTTCTTGGGAAATTGTGTTAATGTAGTTCGTAATTTTTTTTTTCAATACAGTTTTGCTTATCCGAGTTATTAAATTCAATGAGAGGCCGGCCGTGTGATAGGCCCATTCATGGCATAATTAGTTGTATAAGCATCAACAAAAAATGTATTATGGCGCCATAGTTTTTTTTTCGGTACGTTACATTTTATAGATCCCAATAATAAATGGCAATTACTGTTTCCATTTCATAAAGAAATATAAATCCTGATATTATTCTTCTGCTTGAAGAGTTTTCAATTCAATTAATTTGCATCTTGAAATAAAAATATGTTCGAACTAAATTTTCGATAGATAATATTAAAAAAAAAAAGATTTTGTTTTTTTACACGCTCCAGTCTTCTATTGTGAATTTCATAAACCGCATTCCATATTAGGGATCCGTATTCCAGTTTTGACCTTGCAAAAGCATTATACAAAAGCTTTCGTTTCCGAATTATTTCTTATAATGAAGGCAAGAGACTCTAAAGCTTTTGGGATTACAAAAGTTGTGTCATATATAACACCTAAATGCCGTATTTTAACAACATGACACAACTGGGTATCAGAAATATGATAGTATAAATATATGTTATACTGAATCTTAGAGTATGTTACGACAAAACACTTTTTGTATTGCCTTCGAACCTATTTCTTTGACACAATTCGAAGAAATTATTTTACTCCGCTTCAAGAATTAAACCATCAGCGAGACTTCCAATTCTCAAGAAAATATTTAATTCATCGGCATACAGAAGAAAATTACATTGACTGCAAAAACTTGTTACGTCATTTATGAAAATGACGAAGAAGTTTCCTATGGAACTCCCGAGGTTGCAACATAAGAAAATTATTTAACATTGTCAATCACAACGTAGTTTGTTCAATTGTTTAGATAGGACCCAACCCAGTGTAGAAATGTGGAATGAAAACCTAATTTCTTAAGCTTAGACAACAGATCTTCATTAGAGCCTTATCAAAAGCTTTGGATATACATATCTGATCAATTAGCATTCACTTGACACCCATTTGGAAGTGATGAAGTGCAATATAGCAAGATTGCTAATTGCAGAGCGTGCAGGAATGGAGCTATGCTGATCAGAACAAATAAAAAGTTTGATAGCAAAAGATAATTTTGCCATAACGATTTTTCCTAGATTGAGAGGTAGTTGGAAATCCGTGTTCTACTGCCACTTTTATGAACGGGAGTGATGAACGTGATTTTCCGGTCATCTAACCTACCTACTTCACGACAATTTTGACGTCATAAAAGATGCTGCCCTAACCACGCTTTAAATTAAAAATGGTTAAAGTAAATATGGTTTAATATGATAAAAATGTTTGTTCGTATGGAATAGTAGCTTACGTCGGGAACAGTGCTGCCGCGACGTCATGAAAAAATGTGTCGTAAAAGAAACAAAAAATGGATCAAATGTATAACAAAATCTGTATTTAAGTATCAAAGTATCAAGTTAGAAAAAACTTAAGAAAAGGCCATTTGGTTACATACCTTTGCTTTTTTTTTTATTGTCAATAACCCAAAAATTATGTAATTCGCATTCATACACCTGAATATGTATGTAGATGAAGAAAAATATTTTACATATTGTGACAATCTATTAAAAAAGAGATTATTGTTTTTAATCTTGTATAGAGAGGAACAAAAATATTATGTATAGATTTTATAGAAACTTGAGTTCAAATACATATCTACATGTAATTTTCAAATTATGTAATACATTCCACGTTAAATTCGTTGGAAATTATGTAAAAAAGCTCGATTTTATTTTTACTATGAATACGCCCCATCAGATTTTCAACAGTTTGGTATGAAAATGTGAAATCTGAAAATATACGCTCCACATCTGCAGAGTTATTTATGAGGCAAGTAAAGTAAATTAAAAATTAATGAAGTCAGCTCTTTATACATAGTTCATTTAAAGCATTTTTCTTTAAGCTTATTTGACCCCAAAACGCTTCAATATCTTCGATTAAATTTTAAAAGCTGTCACTGCATACATACATAAATATTTTCAATGTAACATGTAAATATCAAAATTTGTACTACGCGAAAAATTTAAGTATCTCGTGAAATGAGCAAAGAAATAAAGTATATTCCGAAAATATTCACAAACACGTATCACTTTTGAAGTACGTGGATCAAAACGGCAACACTGGTCGGGAAGATGGTTTTAGTATAATGCGGCATTCCCTTTATTCTTTAAACGACAAGGAATTTTTGATGAGTCCTAATAAGAATATTGACTTGCTACTATCGGACCTATTTCCTGCACGTTTATTTGTCATAAGTTGCTCAACGGGTCGGCGCCATTGAGTCATTCGCAATCGTATGCTGCGTATGCAGCATTAAACTAAAGCCAGTCTTTCGATATAAGCTACTATTCCATACGAGTACAGAAATAATTCATACTTATGACAATAAAATTTTGTCGAAGTAAGTTCCCAGTGGAAAAATGTAATGTATTGAAAATGCATTTGTTCCCCCAGAGCGATGTCCTTCGAAATGTGGGGCATTCAATTTTGCATTACCTAGTATCGAGAAATGAATGGGATTTAATATGAAATTTTTGGGACTTTTTGAATACATTGGAATGCAGATTACATATTAAACAGTAATAGAATTTAGAACTCATAAGAAATACATTACATTATTTAGCACGCTTGTAATACATTACTCCTTTTCCCACTGGGTCGCTGGATTCTACTTGTGAGAATACGTTTTTAGCTTCTTCTGGCGTTTTATGACTTGCGCCTTCAAATGAATTTAATACGGTGTTTACATGAGGCGATTTTACAGGCAACTTTTAAACGGCCTTTCAACTAATCGCTTCCAATGAAATTGGTGTGCAGCCAACTCCAAAATTGCCTGTAAAATCTCCTATATGAACACCGTATTGAATTCAGTTCGATAAAAATTTCTTCTGATACCACTTTGAATCACGGACAACTTGATCAAACATTTCTCTTTAACGTTCTGTATATTTACATACATTCATATGTACATACACACTTTACCTAACACACGGTATGTGCTTTTAAGCAACGAATAGTTATTTGCATTCACATATTCCCCGCTTACGTACATACATACATACCTCGAAAGCATTGCCGCATCCTGTGGACCGCCAGCGCCCGGTTGTGGCAGCTGTGGTATCGGCGTTATTAACGTTGGCCCATTATGGCTGCCGCCATTCTTTTTCGCCGGTTCATTGCGACTGAGTATACTCGATATAGAGAAACTTGTAAAACCATTGCCAGTTGTCGCTTTGCCATTTCCGGCTGACGCGCCACAACCGTTGCTCGCCTCGCCCCGCCCCAACGCCATACTCTGACTGCTGCCATTACTATCACTATTGTTGTTATTATTATTATTGTTGTGATTGAATAGTTTGCTATTATTATTATTATTGTTATTGCTATTGCTGCCCGTCAGCGAGGTCACTTCATCGCCACCATTACGTTCGGGCGAATGTGGCGCCAAAGCAGCCATTGCCGGCGGACTAAGACGATCCGCTGCGGCCACTGCCGCCGCCGATGCCATAACCAATTGGCCAGCCGTCGGTGTTACGACGGCGGCATGCTGTAGCAATTGCTGGTGCGCTGGGTAGGCGGGATGTGCTGGATGCAAATGATGACCGAAACTGTGGAGGGCGTGATGCAGCGCTACCGGATGACCGCTCAAACTGCTTAAGTGATGTTGCAGGTGATGGTGCAACACCGTCGGCGGTACAGCGGCCAGCGCTGTGGTGGTCGGGCTGTGGAAGTGCGAGCTAGATGTGGGTGTGCCGGCGGCTGTGGTTGGCGTTGATGTGGTGGTTGGGGTGCTGCCATTGGAGGGGGCCGGCGATGCGGAGCGCAAAGGTGTGTCGCAGCCATTTGCACAGCCGGCCGGACTGGGCTCGGGACTGGACACAACGCTGATGTCGACTTCAGCCTCAGAGGAAGACATTGGTTTGGTGAGGGTGTCTGTCTATGTGTGTGTGTGATGAACTTTAGATGCGCTAGTTGTGACGAGTGGACTGCGGCAACACTGGTTTGCGCGTTTTACGCAAATTATTTTTGTTTTGCTATTCACTTCTTTCTATGAAAGTTTACTCGAAAACATAAATCGATATTTTGTTTTTATTTAGTTTTACTTTGTGACACATGCACTTTATAAACCGTTAAGTGTGATGTGGCGACTGATAAGCGAGTTGCATTGCGTTCGCTTGATTTGCGTTTTTTGTTTTTTTTTCTCAATTAGAATTTGTATTTTCTATAGCCTGTCACTTTTGACTTACAGACCTTTAGTTCCAAAAGCGCCACACAAAGGATACACTTTTCTAGTTCACTGCGGCTTTCAATTTAGCACAATTATTTCAACGCGTGTAATTGTACACCCACAATAATTCCGTAGGACGTCTTAACCGCTTCATCAACGCTTCGCATTTAAATTGAAATTTTGAATTCAAAACTGCGTCGTCCTCGACGTAACTCGGAAAAAGTGTTCTGTTTCACTGAACGCATTCGACCGCCGCCCGCTTGTCTACGGTGCTATTGTCTCTATGACTGTATGTCCGTCCGTCTGTTGGTTGATTTGATTCTTCATAGGCGATCGTTTAGTTTTATTGTTTTCCACGATTTAACCCCCGGTCGCTTGAATCGCTCTGCTCTGCGAACCTGACTGTAAGTATACTTTGTCGTCACGCTGCTCAACTAAAACTAAGGTGGTTGGTCGGAATTCTTTTGGTATTTGCGCTAAAATGGTTTTCCACAGTTTTGCAGCACATACTCGCACTAACACACCATACACATACATACATACATACATGCTTGCACACAAACACACGTATCCATGTATGGCATCTAAAATCGTTCTACCTAACAGAACCCTTGACATGCCGCACTGTGCTAAGAGGGTTGTTTGGAAATCGCAAATTATTTGTGGGGCGGCTGAATTCCGTTGCTGAGTCGCGCGCCTCCTTCCACAACGTCGCTCTGCAACGCTGCACTCACTAAATGCGCCAGAAAGAGCGCGGTATATAGTGCTCAACTCGGCGCACTGTCTTACGAGGGGTTGGTTGGTTGGTTGGTTGGTTTGCTGTGTTTTATTTCCAACCTTCAAATTTCAGTGACTGCTGCACGCATATCCTCTCTCCTGTTGCTGCTGCTCTGCCATTGCTGTTGCTTGCGGCCTTGTCTAGTTTTCATCCTTTTTTAATTTTTTATTTTTTTTGTTGCTACAGCAATTGCTCTGCAACCACATCAACACTTTTTAACATTTAATTGTTGTTACTGAAAATATCAAATTGTCTGCTTTCCTTACAATTTTCTATAAGTAAGACTTCATTTCCTTGCCTCTCCTTCTTAGTCGACATCCTTACCCTCTCCAGCGGCGTTTGTATGTCAATAAATTCGCACAGTTCCATTTCACATTCATTCCATAAGTACGTGGCCCAAAATGAAACGTTATGTACGTATATACATATGTACATAGTTCGTTTCGGTCCTAAGGGCTTGAGAGAGAAATACAACCAACCAGACTGCCAGCGAATCAATCAATTCACATACAAAGGTCAAGTGTGATACTATTAAAATTTACACAAAAGATAGTTTGTGCATTCCGGTGATAAGCGATCAGCACAAGCGGCCAGTTGAGGATATGCCGGAGCGTTTGTAAGGAAATTAAATTAAATTGTGAAAAATTTTTAGTATGCCAAGTAAATACGGATATACACAGGGTATGCGCACACATCGGGTTTTTTCATTCAATTTATCAGAATTCGTGCTTTCTCCAGGGCGGAGTAGAAGTGTTTCCAAATCCAAGGTTCAGGGGATAGTAAGCCCCGTTCGGGCAACCTTAGACGGCCTCAAGCCCGATTTGAGAAAGGGGAGACAGGGGGCTTTGGTATTACCAGAGTACGGGCTTGACAACTCCGTCTACCCCACTCAAAGGCTACCAGTCCTGAGTCGGTGGAGACTCAACTGGCAGAAGGGTCTACGGCTTTCGAAAGTCAAACCAAGACTTTAAAATGGTGCCACGGGGACCAGATGCCCCCGGAGTGTGTTCGTCGGCAAGACGAGCAAAACTAGCGCCACGAGCAAGGCTTGCCAGACAGGCAAGACGAACACGACTAGAAAAATGGTGAAAATGAAGTTAAATGAAAGTTGGAAAATGAAGGAAAATGTTTTTAAACCGTGGAAATTGATGGAAAAGTTAGTGTGCAAGTTGAGCAATTCGATCCCTTACGAAAGTTGAGTGAGTCACACAACCTCTCCGTTCTCACAAGCGGAGGGTGCCTAGTGTGGCGAGCGAGGCGAGTAGTATTTGCGAGATTAGCAAGACGGAGCAGGATGGTATGAAGTGTGCATGTTGAAATGCAGATGAATGTGGAGTGAAGTAGTCGTGTAAGTCGTTCTATGTGAGTTGAGTCAGTTGAGTGGGCCAGGGTAAGTTGATCCGGTCGAGCAACTCTCGCCGACGAGTATTACTCCGGTCTGTTCATGGGTATGGCCCTTTTGGGGAGTATCGTGGTGCCTGTGGTTTACCACCCAAATGCGGGAAGAACCAGCAATGGTTCAATGTGGAGTTGCATTGCAACCGGATGTCGTGATGCAGATGATGTGTAGAGTGCATTCTTTTGAATTGCGGCAAGACTTTCGCCATGCCAAGCACAGATAGTTATTTAAAAGATTGACTCAGAAGGTTGGAAAACTCATACCTGGAGGCTCTTTCGGAAGGAAGTATGTCGTTAGATTTCCCACAAGCGAGCAATTCAACTCGGTTCAGCGAACTGGCTAATGAATAAGCGAACTGTGGGTCTTTTAAGCGTTTCATGAAAAAGCCGGATTTATCTAAAATCTTTCTCGTACTTCCAGGAACTAAAGAAAATTAAAAAAATGGCACTGAAAATGCTCCGGCATGATTCTGAAATCGTACTGATCAGGTTCCGAAATAGTCCGAATATCATAAGATCTGCATCGGCCGTTCGATTTTCTATAATGAGGTATCAATTTAAAGAACACGTCCTGTTTACATATGTGCAATAGGGTGTTATTTTACTTTTATTTACATATGAGTTGGTTTGTTTTTAGTGTCACCTCTCGCCAGAAAAAAACGCTTTAGCATTCTTCTTGCATTTATTGCAATCAGTGGAGTTCCAGAAACAAGTACAATTAAAAAAAAAAAATCAAGTATTTGAACAATTTTAGACTTAAAATATTTATTTAGGCGAAAAGTACCGAAATTAAAAATTTTTTTATTGTCACTCGAAAAAAATTTTCAAATAGAATGTTCATGTTAGAGGCAATGGAGGTTGGCATCAAGTACAATATATCTCAACAGTGCCTCAGAGGTGGTCCCTAATCTGGTTTAGATCCGATTATTGGATCATGAAATATATATATCGTCGTTTAAAGTGCAAAACCGCGTATCAACAAAATGCAAAACCGCGTATGTGAGGTTGCATAAATTATTTTTTAGAGAGTAAAACACTCATATTTCAAAATGGTTTTTTTTTTTTTTATAAAGAAGTCGCATATCTGGATTGTATATTTCAGGACGAATGGATAAGGATTGAGCCAAGAGCTTCTTGCCAAAAAAGATGATTCTAGTGTAATAGAACTAGAAAAGAAAAATAATTACAAGGTGCTATGATTTGAGAAAATAAAATTCCATTTTTAACCGACTTCATAAAAAGGAGAAGGTTATCAATTCGTCGGAATATATATTTTTTTACGTATGCTACCGCATAACTTTGGATCACGTTAACCGATTTCTATAATTTTTTTTTTTAAAGGAAAGGTGTTACCTCACAGATGGTCCCATACTAATTTGGTTTAAATGCGATCATTAGATCGGGAAGAAATTTTCGATGATCTTAAATTTTTATTTATAATTGAAGTGGGTTTTTTTTTTTGTTTAAAAATTACTTGTTATAAGTTTTATTGGCATCATCGGAATTCATTCCAAAATTAGTATATACATGAAGAAAGTAATATACAAATATGTACATAAGGAATGCTGTGTAGAAATCTTAAACGCCAGTATTTAATCACTTTGAAATAATGTGGCTTTTAAGTTAAGGCGTGCGAGTACTGCGTATGGTGCTACGGGGCGTATACGTTACAAACGCAACTACGAGTATATGAGCACGAGTGGTTATGCTTACTTTTTTTTACCTATATCTTTTTCAAATGTTCATTGAAATTCAATTTTGTGTTGGAATCTTGTTCTTCATACAAAACTGAAGATAATGCATTTTTCACCAAAAAAACAAGTTTTTGTCGAAAAATTTAACAACTCGTGAGATTTGTTCATATACATATGAAATATTAAAATATGAGTGTGAAACGAAAGAATTTATCGATCCCTAATTAGTCTAGAACGCCATTAAAAATCTATATAGTAGAGTTTTTTCCGGTTTTTTTTCAGAACTTAACGATGCCGGAGGCACTTCTAAGCATTGACGGCATGATTTAGGCGTTTTAACGCCAAATAGCTTCACAAGTTTTGAGTCAATAGGCCAGTCAATATTGTACTTAAGGATAAAATGGTATCATGCTGTTCAGAACAAATATTTTAATCAAAATAAAAAAGGTTCTGTCTCTCAATTTGACAGGAAATATTTTCAATGAATTAAAAACTATTGACGATTACCGCAATGCTGCTACTATCACTGAGGCACAAATGTAGAAAAATATAAGTGGTCGTAATTTATTAAAACTTTACGCCTACAAGGATTACTTCACGTTAATTTCATACATGAAATCAGTATTTTGTAGCGATTATCAGTTTATGAATGCATGTGTGTGTTAGAATATTGTAAAATAAATACTAAATATGAATGAAATTAAAATGTCACTCTTTTTCTTATTCGAATTTCAATTGTACCTACACTCAGGCAGCTATCCTTACATTTAACGTTCCGATATCATTTCGTATACATAACGGAAATAAGCATAGCCCAAAAGGAAACGGAAAAGGGGCAAGTAGGGCGCTCACGCACTGAGAGCGCTGTTCACCCCTCTTGATTACAGGAAAAAATTGTTGCAGACTGCGCGCTACCCCAGTTGCTCTTTAACAAACTCAACCTCTCTCTCGCTCTCTCTCTCTCTCGCGTTTTCCTCTGCAGAGAGCCGGAAATTCAAATTAGCATTCTACAACCTCACCCCTACGAATTCGCAAATCGGAACAATCAACAAACACAAAAGGGTCGGCAAACGGCAAAGATGAAAAGTACTCGTACAGCCAAAGTGTAGAATTGTGAGAGCCGCTCATCAACAATATACAGTTTAGCTGAGCGCAGTGGGCGTGTCCCGTTACAAAAGACTTGTTTCTCAATAGCCATCCAATCAGCATAGACACCTTATTTCCTACGTGGGGAAAAGAGTTGCGAACAGGCGAGAAGAACGGCAACGAAGAGAGGTGGCATAAGTGCTTTCTAAGTTAAAATGCCAAAGAACCAACAAACTGAGGCTCATACCTGCGCCATTTTTGTCGCTTTCCCCTTACCCCCTTCCGAATCATTTACCACCGCTTCTGCTGGGCTGTGGGTGATGGCAAATGTGAATGTGGGCGAACACATTTTGTTGGCACCACAATGAATGTGTAAATACTAACGGCCATTCAAAGCCACCGCAGTTGCGACAGCAGCAACAGCAGCTGTAGCAGTACCATCTAACGGTATAGTATATGTAG